GTTTCACTGGAATTGTGGGTCTAAAAGATGGTTGGGGAGTGCAAAGGGAATAATTTGAGGGACATTGGCAAGGGCGTCCTTAAGCATAGAGATCCCAATAGCATCTGGAGGCCAGAAAAGTTAAACTGGGCAATCAAAGCAGCTTCAGGCTGAATAAAGCTGATGGGTCAGCTTGGGAGACAACACAGGGTGACTGAGATCCCCCCCATCAGCTATGTCTTGTCTTTAGTCTTGGGTACAGTGAGCCTGTTCCAGTAGGTCCTTTGGCCTTCAGTAATTTCTGTAGGCTTTTCCCTGAACGTGGCTTCTGGTCCAGAGCCATACGCTCAGAAAGGCAATTAGAGAACAGACCTGTTCCAGGGCAAGCATGCTCTGTTGAACTTACAAGTTTCATGTCCTAATTTTACAGGACCCTGTACATCTCTCTGGGGATGAGACACGTAACACGTGTAATATCTGTGATACTGGCTTTTGCATCAGTATCTCATGAATAGGCAACCAGTGGAGCTTTAAAACCGACAACATTTTCAGTTTATATGTGATCTAGTTAAATCCTTAAATCTGCCTCCTGCTTTGTAGGTTACTGGCTAGTTGTTTGTTGATGTAAGACAGATAGAAACAGTTTCAAGAGAGATACTGATAACTGTTGTCAGAAATTTCAGCTTCCATCTTACTGATGGTAGTTAATGTAGAAACTTGTCTAACAGACGTATATATATGTATAAAGTTTAGAGAAATAGCTGTCAGAAAACCACTGTTTTTGAAGAATGAAAATTAATTGCTGACTGCACATTCTGGGTATGTGAATTATTTTGATAGAACTTGTTAAGAGAAATGTGTTCCCAAGAACAAACAGAATCATAGGAGAAGTAGTGAAATGGGAAGGGGCAGATAACGATCGTTGAACCAAGTTATCTCTTGAGAAACCTGGAGGCCAGCTTTAAGTCTAGGGGTGACTGTATGTAAACCACTTCCTGTTTTTGGCTTCAGCTTCTCCAACTATAAGATTGGAACAGAAGTGTGGTGGGAGTGCATCTCCAAGATCCTATCAGACTCTTATATTTGCTAATACTAATCAAGTATGGCCTTGTGAAAGGGTCTGTTCTTCTACCCAGTGGGGCCAGTTTCTTTGCCCCAGTGAAAAATGACATTTGTGAGGTCCCTGCTTAGGGACTTTCCTCTTCTGAACCATGCCCTGGCTCAGGGGTGCAATCCCACCCTTAGATAGGAGCCTAGCATTAAAGCTCTAGAGGATACTGGGCCTCCCATGTGCTTGCAGAAAAGAAAAAGATCAACCAACCTTTGTGCAAGTGCAAAAACTAACAGTTTCTGGTGATAGTGCAAACATACCCTTTGTTTTTTCCTCTCACTACATTTCCGTAGACAGATTTAATGCTTTAGAGGACAGTCACGGGAGTTAGTTCCTGTTTTACTTTTGACTGTGCCAAGTGGAAGAAAATCCTACCTTGCGTTCTCAGCATGCCTTCCTCTTCTAGCCTCCTTTCTTCTTTCTATTTCTCATCTTTCATCTCTCTTTGAACTTATGTGTGATGTTCACAAGGACAAAAAGTTTTGGTGAGGGAAAGGGGTGGGATGGGACAGTGTGATAGGTGGCAACAGGGTCATCATTTCCCCCTTCACACCAAGCTTCCCGTGAACCAATAATTTTTTTTTTTTTTTTCTTTTACCAGCATCACTGAATCTGCCTACATTTCAGTTTTTGGCTTGGGGAAATGTGGAAAGAATTCTCAACCCTGTCACTTGAGTGAGCCCTTTGCAGGTGGCATGTAGTGCCTGGGCCACTCCCACTTCCCTGAGATTGCTGTCCTGTAGGCACCCATCAACAGGTCTTTCCTGACCACCCTCCCCAGTCACTCTCTGTCCCCTTACTCTGGTTTATTTTTCATCATTACTCCTACCACCCACCAACCTGAAAAACTCACTGTTATTTTTTAATTTTCCATCTCCTCTGCCATTTTTCAGTTTTCCACCTCTTCTGCTAGAGTAGAAGCCCCATGAGAGCAGGAACTTTGCCTGTTTTTGTTCATTGCTGGATCTCCAGTGTCTAGAACAGTGCCTGGCACATAATAGGCACTCAGTAAATATTTGTTTGGCTAATGGGAGCCTTCAGAATGTGGAAATTATCAAACAATATCAAGTAAAATTTTGCTGAAGATAATTCAAAAGTGGTTGCAGCAGTACATCAACAGGGAAATGCCAGAAATTCAAGCCCATTCAGAAGAGGATATGGAACAAGGAATATCATTGCTGATGTCAGATGGATCTTGGCTGAAAGCAGAGAATACCAGAAAGATGTTTACCTGAGTTTTAGGGACTATGCAAAGGCATTCGACTGTGTGGATCATAACAAATTATGGATAACATTGCGAAGAATGGGAATTCCAGAACACTTAATTGTGCTCATGAGCAACCTGTACTGCCAAGAGGCAGTCGTTGAAACAGAATAAAGAGGATACTGTGTTGTTTAAAGTCAGCAAAGGTGTGCATCAGGGTTGTATCCTTTGACCGTATTTATTCAATCTGTATGATGAGCAAATAGCCCTAGAAGCTGGACTATATGAAGAAGAGCGCGACATCAGGATCAGAGGAAGACTCATTCACAATCTGGATTATGCAGATGACACAGCTTTGCTAGCTGAAAGCAAAGAGGATTTGAAGCACTTACTGATGAAGATCAATGACTGCCGCCTTCAGTATGGATTACATCTCAACAGAAATAACACAAAAATCCTCACAACTGGACCAATAAGCAACATCATGATAGATGGAGAAAAGGTTGAAGTTGTCAAGGGTTTCATTTCACTTGGATCCACAATCAGTGCCTATGGAAGCAGCAGTCAGAAAATCAAATGACGTATTGCACTGGGCAAATCTGTTGCAAAAGACTTCTTTAAAGTGTTAAAAAGCAAAGATGTCACTTTGAGGACTCAGATAGGCCCGACCCAAGTCGTGGTATTTTCAGTTACCTCATATGCATGCGAAAGCTAGACAATGAATAAGGAAGACCAAAGAAGAATTGATGCCTTTGAATTATGGTGTTGGCAAGGAATATTGAATATGCCGTGGACTGCCAGAAGAACAAACAAATCTGTTTTGGAAGAATGCTCCTTAGATGCGTGGATGACAAGACTTCATCTCATGGACTTTGGACATGTTATCAGGAGGGACCAGTCCCTGGAGAAGGACATCATGCTTGGTGCCGTGTAATGGATTGCTTTCATGTGGCCTTTTTCGCCATGGTCTTGTAACTCCCACCCAGGTGATTGGGCAGGACTGTGTGATTGGGTAATTGTGGCCCACCAAGGGGATTGATCAGTTTTGCCATCCTGCTGGTCTTGAAATGAGCCACCCCAGAGGTGGGAAAGAGAAGAGCCCACCACCACCAAGGAAGGAGAGACCATCAGGAGAGACCAGGGAGAAGCCTACGCCTGACCCATGAATTTGGGACTTGCCTGCCTCCACAACCTCGTGAGCCATTTCCTTTGTGAGTTCTGTGAGAAGTTGCAGCGAATTAGGGAACCCAATGACTGGAGGGAGAGTACTGAGGGGAGAGGGAGTGGCTGATGTTAGAGATGATGAAGTGGTATAGCAGCTTGGAAAAGTTGGATATTTGGGACATCTTTAACCTCCGCCTCATAGGAATCAGCTTTGTGCTGATCCTTATAAAAGAAATTATGTGTTTTTTTGGTAAAGTAGCAGGTCAGTGAAAAAGAGGAAGACCCTCAGTGAGATGGATTGACATATTGGTTGCAGCAGTGGGCTCAAAAATAGCAACGATCGTGAGGATGACACAGGACTGGGCAGTGTTTCGTTCTGTTGTACATAGGGTCCCTATGAGTCGGAACCAACTCGATAGCACCTAGCAGTAACAACAGTTGGAACCTTGCAGAGTTAAGGCTGCAGGTATTTGTGTAATGAATAGGTGGTGGTGAATATTTATTCAATATTCACCTCACAAATGAATCATGCAATAATCAAACTTTATACTATGCATTTCTTAGGTATTCAAAGGCATGATATGATTTGTAGAGTATGCTAATTATTACAATAGAAGACAGGTTTTTATTTTGTGTCAGGCTTATTGACATACAAGTTACACACAGTAAAATTCACCCTTTTTAAGTTTACAGTTTGATGAGTTTTGACAAAGGTTTTTAATAATATTTTATTGTGTTAAGGTGAAAATTTACACAGCAAATTAGTTTCCCATTTCACAATTTCTGCAAGTATTATTCAGTGATGTTGGTTACGTTTTTCACAGTGTGTCACCATTCTCAGTCATTTCATTCTGGCTGTACCTTTTCCAGTACTCTAGTTTCTCTGCCCCCTTACCTTCTCTTCTTTGCTTTAGAGTAATTTTTGACCATTTGGTCTCATAGGGAACCTGGTGGCTCAAAAGGTCGGCAGTTCAAATCCACCAGCCATTCCTTGGAAACCCTATGGGGCAGTTCTGCTCTGTCCTATAAGGTCGCTATGAGTCGGAGTCAACGTGATGGCAACGGGTTTGGGTTTGGTTTTGGTTTGGTCTCATATAGATGTTTTTTTTTTTAAGGAGCTCATTAGTCATGGGTGATATTCTTCATGAGCTAATCTGTTACTTAGGTAAAAGGTGACCTCAAGGGATAGTTTTAATTTAAGATTTAAAGAGTATCTCAGGCAATAGTCTGAGGGAGTTCTCTAGTCTCAACCAGTCCAGTAAGTCTGGACTTCCTAAGAATTTGAGATCTGTTCCATATTTTTTTTCACATTCTATCAGGATCAATCTATGTGGCCCAGATGAGAACTGTCAGTAGTGGTAGCCAGGCACTATCTAGTTCTTCTGGTCTTAGGGTAAGTGAGGCTGTGGTTCGTGTAGTCTGTTAGTCCTGTAGACTACTTTCTTCTCTGAGTCTTTGGTTTCCTTCTTTCCCTTTTGTTCCAGATGAGTAGAGACCAGTAGATGTATGTATGATGGCTGCTTGCAAGCTTTTAAGACCCCAGACACTACTCACTACATTGGAATGTAGAACGTACACTTTATGAACTATATTATGCCAATTAACTGAGTTGTCCCATGAGACTATGGTCCTAAGCCTTCAAATCCAGAAAACCTATCTCGTGAGATGTTTGCTTACATCTAAGAAGTATCTGTAACTGTGTCTCCGATGTGGTTTATTATATATATATGGGTATATATGCATGCACACACATATCTGTATGTACATATGCCTATAGATACATCTATCTCTGCATACATATGTACCCACATATTCATACCCGTACACATATATGCCTATATAAATATTTGCATAAGCACACACATATTTTTGGTTGTTGATGTGAGTTTTGACAAATGTATATACTTGTGTAACCACCCCTGGAATCATGATATAGAATATTCCATCACTCTGTGTTCTTTTGCAGTAAGTCCTCTCCCCTCAACTCTTAACTACTGGCAACCACTGATCTGATTTCTGTCCCTACTGTTTTACCTTTTCCAGCTTGTCATAGAAATGGAATCATATGCTATATAGTCTTTTGTGTCTGGTTTATTTCGCTTAGCAGAAGGCTTTTGAAATTTATCCATGTTGTAGTATATATCAGTAGTTTGTTCCTTTTTATTGCTAAGTAGTGTTCTCAGCCTTTATTCATTCACTAGTTGATGGATATGTGAGTTGTTCCCAGTTTTTGGTTTTATGTTTCAAGCTTCTACAAACATACTCATCCAGGTCTTTGTGTGAACATATGGATAAATACCTAGGAATGGGATGGCTGGGTACTGTTATAAGTCTATGTTAAACTTTACAAGAAACTGCTGAACTGTTTTCCAAAGTGGCTGTTCCATTTTACATTTCCACAAGCAGTGTATGAAAGTTCCAGTTGCTCCACATCCTCGCTTGCACTTTTTAATTTCAGTAGTTGCAGCGTGTGTGTAGTGGTATTTCATGATGGTTTTAATTTGCATTTCCCAGAAACTAGTGATGTTGAAAGTCAGAACCAACTCGATGGCACCTAACAACAACAGTGATGTTGAATGTCTTTACCTTTGCTTATTTGAGAAGGTCATGCTTTTACAGTCTGTTGTATTATATAGATATTAACAATTTTAAAATATTAGTGGCATTTGAAGTGACAATTTCTAAAAAAAAAAAAAAAAGTCAATGATTTGAGCAATTACTTCCGTCCGCTAGGTCCGTACCAGACAAAAGGAGGTTGGTGTGTGGAAACTGTTAAATTTTGGCACGGGGTGAGCCACCTGAATGACTGATGACCAATCCCAGAGAGAGCACATCTAGGACTTGAGCATGAGGATTGGCAGAAAGCAGATTTCATGGCTCCTTTGGTCTTGGGAAGACCTGCTTGGCCCTTAGCTAAACCTTGGCCCTTATGAGAAGCCGACCTAGATTCAGTTACATTTTTCTGAATGTCCCAGTAGTCACCTGGGAAGCATTTATTCTTATAAAGTTGCTCAACAGTCCTTTGTGGCCATCATGACTGCTCAACAGCCCTTTGTGGTAGAAGCCTGCTGAACACAGAGCTCCCTCTTTGGGGACAGTTTGCCTGAATCAGTTAATTCAAGCTTGAAAATTTGGTTAACACAGGCCCAGAAATGCTACTACTCTTGAATTCTGAGACCCTATTTCACATGTTCCAGCTATCATCTCTTAATTAATTAAGCTAACATTGCCTGAGTACTCACTACACGTGCGTACTGTTTTGCATACTAGAGAGTACAATGATGAAAGAAACAGGAATGGTGCCTGCCTAAGTCAGAATGTGGGGGGAGCCAGGCCAGAGAAAACAGGTGGCTGTGGGAGCATCTAGGAGGGGATCCTGACCCAGGTGTCAGCACAGGGGAGGTGATCAGGAAAGAACTGAGGAAGTGACAGCTAGGTGGAGACCTCAGGTTGAGGAGGAGTAGTTAAGCAGGCCAACCAGGCTTCTAGAAAAGTGTTTCAGGAAGAGGAACACACCAGTGAAGTCTCAGTGGTAGGAGAGAGCCAGTAAGTAGTTCCCCAGGGCATTGTTTAGGCAGTGGGGAGTGGTGAGAGGAGGCTGGAGTCCCGTAGGGAGCTCATCTGGGTGGCCAAGTAAACCACTGTGAGGATCTGACTTTATCCTGAGGGAGGTAGGGAGCAAGGAAAAGGTTTTAAGTGAGGGAGTGGCATTTTCAGATATTTGGTATTGTAGAATAACTTTGGTTGCTGTGTGGAAAAGGGACCTGAGGGGCACAAGACTGGAGGCAGAGAGACCAGTGACGTGGCTCTTGTGGTTATCCAGGAGTGAAATGAGAGTGGCTTATTGATTGGTGATGATAGTGAAGTGGGACCCTTTCCAGCCAGTAACTGGAAACGTGTATAAGGGCAAAAGTGAGTGTGCTGCGAGCTTAGCTTTGAAAGCATTGGGAAATCCAGTACATGGTACTGCCTTTTTTTTGTTTTGGTTTGTTTGTTCACTTCCTTGGAAAACTGATGTGGAAATGTCCCTTTGGCTTAAGTTACCTGAGGGGCTCGGGCATTGCCAAACTCTACTTTTTGGACAGAATTGCTCCCAGCATTGATTATTGTGTCCCCAGAAAGGGGAGGGAATTGTGCAGGAGGCCAGGGACATGCCTTGGTGGGTGGGCAGAGCAGAACCTTCTACTGTTGCTCTGGGCTACTACTTGCTAACTTTTCTTGTATGTCTCTGGGAAGGTCCCTGGGGCCAGAATCTGTGTTTGAAAAACTGGAAACTCTACTTTCAGAAAAATGCTGATCAAGAAAACTCCTCCTGACGTTTCTCTTCTCTTCTCATGAAGGTTCTGTAAAGGTGTGCCTTCCTTTTCTCTGAGCACTCTTCTCCCTCAGCGTTTAGGGGAGTCAATTCTGTTCTCTGGTTTTGCCCTGGGGACCCCAACGCTAGGCCATTCAGATTTTGTCCTTCCTATTTTGCCCTACCTTTCCAGAAACCCATGATGGATTTGTTGAAAATAATGGAACAGAAAGGAATATTTGGACAGGATGTAACCATTTCTGTACAGGAGGAAACCCTTGGAAAGGAGAAAGTGAGTGGGGAGAAGGGAACTCTTATTTCTTTGGCACTTACAGTGTGCCTTTTACTGTGCTGGGAACTTATATCATCTCTAGTCCTTAAAACAACTATGCAAGGTAGATATTGTGATCCCTGTTTTATAGACAGGAAATTGAGGCTCAGAGAGCATAAAGGCTTGGCCAAGACACATAGTTGGGAAGCTGGGGCTAATTCATGTCTGTGTTCTTTCTACTAGGTCACTTTTTTTTTTTTTTTAAATAGCAAAAGTGTTCCAACCTCCTCAGTGTTACCTTGGGGATCTGAAAAGATTCATGTAGCTTCTAAATCAGCCAGGTGATTCCTAGAGAGCAGCTTCTGCATGAGCAAGTCTAGTAATCATTTATTTCAGTGTTTCTGGAATGCAAGCTCTATTCTAAGCCACTTAGAAACATGCGTCTCACTATGACATTCTGGCTCCCAGTTGATGTCTTCAGACAGTAAAGTGGAATCTGATACGTGTTGGTTTAACACTTTTTCTTTTTGGAGTGAGAAACTTTGGGGGTCTGTTTCCTCCTAGAGGTTTGCTGAGCAGGTGGTGAAGAAATAGGTCCTAAAGCCTGCATATTTTAAAGGAACTCCTGATTTGTTGGTTTTTTACTGAATGAAGACAGAGTACACAATGGTAGGGTCACTGTCACATACACTGAAAATTCCTTCCATTCCTTCTCTAATGCAGAAGTTTTTAATCCAAGTGCTTGTGGCATGGGGGGCGGGGAGGGTTAATGCCCTACTGGAAATTGACCTTTGCATTGAGATTTGATTTAGACTCAGAGTTTGAGTCCAGTACTTGGTTTTGTACCCACAAGGAGTTACTACATCCTTAGATCCTTCTGCTGTTTGTTCCTTGTGTTTGTTCCTTACTCCTACCCCACCCATAATGATTAACAGAGACATTTTATAACTAAAGCTGGTTTCTGGGAGCTGGTAAGGGTTCAGGACTACCAAGTGCTAATGGGGCCTAGTTTTATCCTGTGTATCCCTCCCTTCTTCCACTTCTAATTTTCTGTCACATCCTTAGCTTTAATGTTAGTATTACCACTTAAATAAATAGAGCTGTTGGGCGGGCAGCTGGCACGCATAGAGCATTGTATCCCCTTGTTCATGGGAACCTCTCCCAGTATGGTGAAACAGTCCTCCAAGGAGGCACCTGTGACACCTGACAAAGAGTAGTTAGGTCAGGTGCAGTTAGAGTCAGGCCAGAAGTGTGCACATGTCCTGATGGTAGGAGCTTGTCAGTTTCACAGACAATGTGATGAGCCTGCCATAGCAGACTTGTATCTTTACAGGATATTGTTTTCTTGCCACATAGACACAGCACTGGGCTTGTCCTCACCACCTGGAAGCAGGTGTCAGTGGCATTTCCTAGGTGTTTACTCACAGTCACCTAAGACATGCTGTGGCTTTCCAGATTAGAAACTGCTTTATTGATGGTGCCATTTATCATTGGAAGGACTCAGCCTTGTGGCCAGATGAAAATTTAGTCTGCAGTAAATTTCAGAGAATAGCATTACTCACTTTAGTCTCCAGGCAAAAAATGTTAAATGCTGTTGACATTTTATGTATATTTATGGCCACCTAAGATTGTTTACTGTAAAGTCTGTTTTCATAAGTGCATTTTTCATTCCCAAATGATGACACCACTGTAGCTAAAATGATTAGGACCATAACGACTAGCTCCCAGGCTACCACCAGCAAGCCTCTGGAAGCCCTGTTTCCTGGAGAATCCTGTAGCTGGGACCCAAGAGCCCATGAAGTTGGGGAGCAGTCATGATGCAGACCTGGGTGTTGGAGGTCTCAGGTGAGAGGGCTGGAGCAGTAGCCCTCATTGAGGTATGGCTTTGCGGTAGTAACTGACGGCGCTCTCCCCTTACTGCTTTATCTTTCAGTTAATGACCAGCCACAGCGTCCCTGCTGTGAGCTCCTGCCACTGCCTCCACGGGCTCCGGAGCCACACGCAGGTTGCTGTGGGCGCCGGCTGAGGTAACATGGCTTATTGGCCTCAGTTGAGGTTGCTGCTGTGGAAGAACCTCACTTTCAGAAGAAGACAAACGGTAAGCTTGGTTTTCCTGGGGAGGAGGGTTCTCCCATGCTTTTCTCAATGGTTTTGAGATGGGTGTTGGAGGAAGGAGGGAAGGGAGTCCTTTTGGTTTTCACAGAGTGATTGAATCTGGCCCCTGATGGACACAGGACTGTGGCTAGTACTGGGTCTCATGTGGCCCTAGGGCTTGTCATAGAGGGCAGCCAAGCAGAAATGCTAGCTTTGCTTTGTGCAAGCATCCAGGCATGAGTTCTAACCCCCTGAAGGCTGGCACAGAGCTGCCCTTGCCCACCCACTCTTTTTTTTTGCCGGTAGTCCTGGGAGTCACCTGGCTTTTCAAAAGCACCTTATGGGCTCCTGTATTTCTGGGAGGTGGGAGTGAAATGACTTAATGACCCGGCTCTTAGAGATCAATGCCTGGATCTCTAAGTTGTTAGTCCAAACACCCTCTTTCAGCTTGGACCACAGGCCCCAAGAAATATGATAGCCAAGACTTGTTTTATTATTTGGTGGGTTCTAAGGCATTTACTTTCTAGATGGGCTAATAATGCTTTGAGTAATCCTGAGAAAAATGTTCCTTAGTGCACAGGTGAATAATGTTTTTTCACAGAGGAGGGTGGAATGGTGAAGGCATGGTGAACTTCCTGAAGCTCAGATGTCAGCTCTTTTCTTTTCTGTCTCTGAACCCCCTTTGTTGGATTTCCCATCTGTCTCCTGGATTCAGTTGCATCTCTCTGTAGTTGGCATCTAAATCTGTTTCCTGTCTTTTTCCTGAGTTCTAAGCCTGCACCCCCACTTGGGGGTCTTAATGAAGCTCAACATGTCTGAAATCAAAATCATCATCTTTCTTAGACTCAAAGAATTATAAGGGACCTTGGAGATAATTTAGTTCAGTGTTCCTTAAGCTACAATAATGCTTGGACCCTCTATAAACGAACAAAAATGTCAATGTACCCTTGTGTTCACTATATTATTTTTATTATAATGTTACTTAAATATGTACATTTGTGAAACTAGATATAAACCGCTTACACCTGTGAGCTATTATACAGCTATATGACCCATACGTATTTACAAATTAAATGCAAACCAAATTGCAAAACCAATGCAATTCAAATTAACAGCTTTAGTGTGGTGAGACAGCTGATGTTGAAACCAGATTATAAGCTGCAATGAGAACATGGTAGTATGTGATAGTGCTTGCTGATCCTTTTGTGTTTGGCCAGCCTATAATACAATCTGCTAGTGGTTCAATTCTCCAACCACTTTTGTATTTGAACGACTTTCATTTGATGTCATTTGGCTTTTATTTGGCACAATCTCATTATTCATAAATTGAGTCTGCATCTGTTCCTTTCTCATTAGTCTGCTACAATTAGACTGGTGCTAACCCAATCTGCAAACACAAATATAAACTTGGGCTCTGAAATCTTGTGCCAGAACTTGGTTATAAAGTGGGCATTCAGAAAATACAGACATACTTATTAGAATTTATTTAGATGGCCCCTGAATTGAAAACAGAATATTTAAAATCCTCATAGAGAACTTGCAACCCTTTAAGAATATATATACAGATTCTAGTTTGAGAAAAACTGATTTTGTCTAGTCCTTCATGTTAAAAAATACATACACTGAATCCTAATGTAACTAGTGAGAGATCAGGGAGTGGAATCCATGTGTCCTATCTGTCTTAGTAATACTAAAATACGTTAATATAACAAAAGCAAACAGAGTGAGCTGTCATGTGCTAGGCACTACGTGCTTTATTAACTAGATTACTCTTTTTAAGACCTCACAAAATACTGTTATTTCCTGACTTTATGGTTGAGGACCTTGAAGCACAGAGAGGTTAAGGAATTTGTCTGGTATCCACACTGCTGGTAAGGCACAGTGGTTAAGAGCTACGGCTGATAACCAAAAGGCCGGCAGTCGAATCCACCAGCTGCTGCTTGGAAACTCTATGGGGCAGTTCTGCTCTGTCCTGTAGGGTTGCTATGAGTCAGAACTGACTCAACGGCACCTAACAGCAACAACAGTAAGCAGCAGATGGTTCAAACCCAGATAGTCTGATTCCAGAGTTGATACTCTAATCTACTATGTCAAATTGCCTTTCAGTAGTATCGTTATTTTTTTCTATTCTAAGCCCCAAAACCTTCTGAGTTTCTGGCTTCTTCCTTGCTTTTCCTGTGCCTCCTAAGGCATGTCCTATATGCACATCTCTTATTTGCATTTCTTGGCTACCATGTGGTCCAGGTCTCTTGCCTCTTCTCCATTTGGTGGCAGCAGCCTGATGGGAAATTGTCTCTGCCATGGTTTGTCCATCAGCCAAGGGGTAGCGGAAGAAATTGTATCATCTTAAACGGGGTTTCAAAGATAGTCTAGTACAGCTGTCATATTTTACAGATGAGGAAACTGAGGCACAGAGCAGGCAAAGGATTTCCCCAAGTTCAACCAACCAGAAGCTGAGCTGGGACATGAACTGGCATTTCCAAGACTCAGGCCAGCCCCCTTTCTATCCCATTGCATTGATTTTTCTTTCCTTCTCCAAATCCTCTGCGGCCCCAGGGCAGTGCTCAGCCTGAAGGTGGAGGAAATGGGGGCAGGGAAGAGGTTCTTTGTGCTCAGTCAAAGGAATTAGGAGCAAATGGAGTTAGGAACAGGACTTGGCAGTTGGGTCATCCAGACTGGGCCAGTCTCCACTGGTCTTGAGCTTGTTGCTTCTTGCTCAATAGAGTTTTTGGGTTTTAAAGTGTTAGTGTTAGAGAGATAGGAAGGCTTATCAAAAGCAGTCTGTAGCCTTGTGGTGGAGTTCTTGTTGAAGGAGGAAGTGGAGACACAAAAGCTTTTCTAGATGCCTGCTAAGCTGTCCTGGTTACCCCTCTTCCTGATTTCTGAAGGAAATGGATTTTGCTGAATCAGAAAGGAAGGTGGTTTAAGTTTAGATTGTCAGAACTGGAAAAATCTGGCTTGCCCTTAGTATAGTTGATGGAGTCCCTTACAGGCACAAGCACTTTTTATCAGGCTTGTTTTTATCTACACTAAGGGCTTTATGTCCCTCTATCTTAAGCTCTGATTGGTAGCTATTTCCCTGATATAACTACCTGAGATTTCTAGATTATATTGTTTAGACATTGGAACCTGTTAAGGTTTTGGGCCACTTTGTTAGCTCACATAGTCAGAACCAGCTCTGCCCATTCTCCAGGGGGCAAGAATGGCCCACAATATATGGAAATCAGTTGCTTGTTTCTCTTCTCCTGAGATCCTGGAGTATAGAAACTTGACTCTGGGGAGCTTAGAACAGAGGCTGGCACTGGGACATCCTTAATAAGTATTTGCTGAAAACCCATTACTGTTGAGTCGATTCCGACTCACAGTGACTCTATAGGACAGAGTTAGAACTGCCCCATAGTTTCCAAGGAGCGGGTGGTGGATTCGAACCCACAGTAGCTCTTAAGCGCACTGCGCCACCAGGGCTCCAGTATTTGCTGAATGAATGGTAAATATGTTAATGACGCATTAGTCTCCAGGAGGCCCCCCTGCTATAGGAGCCTGCCTTGTGTGCTGCTGCTAGAAAGAATTGAAAGAATATGTAAAAATCTGCAGCTGAATAATATGCCCCAGAGCAACCGTATTGAAAGGCAGCTGTTTGCCCTTTTACTCTGTGTCCTTGTTTGCTGATGAATCCTGGGGGCCCCTCTGCGGTGCCCCCATTGTGTAGGCTCAAGGGGACCATCAGCCAGGTTTAGCTTTCTACTGTTCCTGTTGGGCAAAGAATACATTGAAACTGAGTTGCGAAACTTGGGTGCAAAGCTCAGTTTGGGTCCAGAGTAAAGTTAACTTGTGTGGGTGGCAGTCATTCAGCTCAAACAGGGTTTAGGACAGGAAGAGGGAGGGGATTCAGAGTTCTCAGGATCCTCATCTGGTTTTAGGCTAATCCAGGGGACAAAGTCCCCATGAAACAGATGGGACTCAGTGTGGCCATATGGCCTCTTTTCTTTTGCCTTTATTATTAATTTTTCCAGTTAGATTTGACTATTGATGGGGCTGGAAAAATAGATAATTCTAATTTTTGCATACGAATTTAGAGCACCAGTATTTGAGCATTGTTTAGGGATAAGGACTACTTTTCAAAAAATAAAAACTCCTCCTTTAAGAGCCATTAGAGAATTTTACAGGTAGATGGAGACTCTCTGCGCCCCCCTCCCCCACTTTCAGTCTCACTTCCCACGTGTACTCCCTTTCCTTAGTTCTGGCAGTGATGGTTATGATTCTAATCGCAATTTGGCCACTGTGTGCCTCGGTGGCCTTGGGAAACTCATTTCTCCTGAGCTTTGGTTTCCCCTTTTATGGGATGAAGAAGGTTAGAACAAAAAATCATTTATTGTTTCGCTTATTGTTTATTGAGCATCTACTACATGTTAGACATTGTGCTGGGCGTACACTGGTCAACCAGACAGACCTGATCTCTGTCCTCATAGAGCCTATAGTTTAGTGAGGGAAGCTGATATTAAACAAAGTCATCACATTAGCAAAAATGCAATTACAAACCGTAGTGTTATGAAGAAAAAAACTAGATTATGGTAATGTTAGAGACTTAACAGGTTGTGGGTAGGGACTAATTTAGAATGGAAGGTCATGGCATTTGAGCTGAGAGCCCTGAAGTTGAAGTGGGAGTTAACCAGAGGAGATCAGGGGCTTAGGGAACAGGGGCACCCACATCCCAGGGTGTGTCAAGGCCTTGGGACCCAAGACATGTTCCCGGGTCAAGGAACGGAAAGAATCCAGTGGCACTGGTGGAGTGAAAGAAGATTGGCTGGGGATGAGTTGGGGTTAGGCAGGGACCAGATCATGCAGGGCCTTGCAGCTGAGAATGGGCAATTGAATTTTTATTTTATGTACAAAAGAAGTCCCTAAGGTAGGCTTGCCACGGTCAGGAGGTTCAAATGGTTAAGGTCTGTGTCACTGAGGGAACTTGAAGGACAATAGCCCAAGGAAATAATTGCAATCGTTACG